TAATTAGCAATCCAAGATGAGGTCAATCTTATTTCTATAAACTGTGTGTCAATAAATATTTGATACTTGGATAATTTTTATAGTTTAATTTATAATTTGCTTTTTGTATAATTGTCGTAAAGGAAGCCAAGATAGTTAATTAGAAATCTGCTAGATTTTTGCAGTTCACGTGACCAGCGTCCATGCACCAGGGTCTTTTCTCCACAAGAGGAAAGACCCTGGGTACTTTGAGTCCCTTCCCGCTCGCAAGTTTAATATTTATGTCTAATATCAGAACGGTCTCTTTGCATGCTTTCTTATCAAATTAACGTAACAGCATAGATTATCAGGCAGCTGTAATCCTCAAGCCAGTAATGGCAAAATATATTACCAACAGCAAGTTATGATAAAAAACGTATATGTTTTCTGCCAGATCTGAGAGCGGGGCAGACATGCCACTGTTTCAAGAAACCAATTCATGCTAAGTGATTCCGTCAATAATCAATATTGCTCGTCACACGGCCAAACATTGGCCAACCGCGCAAGCAAGGGTCTCCACAGGACGGGGACCCTTGCGTGATGCGAGGTTGAACATTGGTCTGTTTATGAAATTATACTACGTTTAGAAACTCTTTTAAGTTAATATTTATAATAAATGCTCTTTGACTTTGCTTTCGAGTTTGTATATTTTGGAGGTTCCCGAAATCGAAGAGCCCGCAATACTTACTACGATACTAGAAACATTGGCAAAGCTAGTGGTAACACAGGCAGTAAAACGTTTTAGCCCCAACACAACAAATTAATCTTCGGCAGTAGTTTAAAAATAAAATAAATTAAATATTTTAAAAAATATGACCCTCGACTTTTTATATATGACCCTCAACTTTTTAATTTGACCCTCAACTCTTTTATATGACCCTTGACTTTTTATCCTCGACTTTGGACCCTCGACACTAGACCTACCACCCTCGACAAAAACCTAAACTCGCATGCCACTCTGCTATGCGCGCATTTTACTCGCACAAGGGAATATGTAAAATTTACACAATACAATAATACAGTCTTTAGCTTGCAACAATCCACTCAAATTTCAAAACGACTCAACAGCATATACCATAATTAGCATTTTTTATAATTTTAGTCTTACACCGTGGTTCCGGTTGTATTGTTGATAAAGTTCGACTTGGACACCGTTTACACGGTACCGGACGAATTTGGGACCGGGCTGCAATTTGTCCTTTTCGCCTGTTTACACGCGAATTCATCTTGTTATCAGATCAGTACGTGGTCCTGTTAGGTGGTCTCAAATTCGTCCGGTTCCGTGGTTCTCGTGCGAACGGAAGGCCGAATTTCAACCCGGTTCCCAATTCGGCCGGCAGCGCATGTTATTGTTACACCAACAACGGCCAAACGAATTAGAGTTTCTTAGTCTCAAAATATAAAACACAAAAGAACATAATACTGTATATAAAACACAAAAATGTGAAATATATAAAAAGTAATTTTATGTTGCCTGGCGCTTCTGAGCTTCTACTATATATAGTTACATATAATATCGAGAAAGCTTGCACAGACCATTCGAGATTGCATGTAATATCGATAAATTTTAATTTAGGCCACATAAAAAAATTACTTGTTTAGCGTCCCCGCCCGACCTGATAAAAGTCCCCGACCTCCAATTTTTTTTTATTTTTTTTTTTAAATTTGTCCG